CGTAGGCTCGTCCAGGTTTTTATGTCTTTAAGACATGCTTGTAGTCAAGTAGTTGATTGGATTCATTGGACTTCATGGACAAATATAACTGTGTATCATCAGCATAACAATGAAAATTTATCCCATGCTGTTTAATATCTTTACCTAATGGAAGCATATACTATAAGGTAAAAAGTATTTGTCCAAGCACTGAACCCTGAGGAACTCCATGACTAACTTTGGTGTATGATAAAGATTCATTATTTAGATTTACAAATTGGAATCTATCAGATAGATTCAAAGCGCTACCCACAGTAGGTAAGATATTAATTATTCATAACTTTTTCACAGAAACCCACATTAAAAGGGGTGAACTCTCCCTTTATACTGCTCGAGAATCACTTCCAGCGCCCTGTTGGTAAATCAGCTCTTCAAATGTTTAAATTCAGCACTTGATGCCAGGACAACATTAGTGTTGCATAAGAGAGTTGATTATCATCTGGGCATAACAATGTGAGAGATGATGGATAAATCATTTTACATTATTTATAAATCAACAAGAGGACTTATTAAAAAGATATGAAATGCTTATGCTGATGTTTTTCTTTAAAGTTGAAGTGATTCCAGAAAAAGTCTTAAGGGCTAAAAGGCTGTTCCAGCCCTCTTTGTTCATGCTTATCGCCTGCTGCCAAAAGCAAAGAGGCGATAATGATTTGCCTCTGGGTGCGTGTGTGCGCGTGTGTGTGTGTGTGTGGGGGGGGGGGTTTGTTTGTAGAGGTGATTAAAAAAAAAAAACCTCACCAACCAGTGGACAGATTTTAATGAAATCTCAAAAAAATGTAATGATTTTGTAGATATTGAGCTGAATCTTGGTTTGGTAGTAGCTGAGACTGCTCTCCAATTTATACATCAAGAGCTAACAGATCGTGCAGGATCTTTGTTTAAAACTTCAACACACAAGGCTTGTTTTTAATTGTTAGTTGTAATGCAAATCAATTTTATCATTGGGCAAAAATGTGGTTCAGCAGCAAATATTTTAATAGAATCATCACCTTTGACAAAAACTGAAGCTCTCGACGCTGACAAGTGAGCGACTGTAGTATTCTGTGGAGCTGAACACTTTTGTAAAGATGGGTCAAAGGAATATTTTATTCCCAACATTATGTGATCGTTGTGACGGGCTTTCAAACAGATTAATGTACATTCTGTGGCTGAGCAGTGTCAAACAAAACACACTCATCCCAGAACGTAAGGATCATTTCAGACACAAAGAGGAGAGCTTCATAAAACAGCTTTGGACAGTAAAGTTAAAAAAGTGATGCAAAGAAAACAAATCCACAGACTCGCTGACAAAGAAAGGAAAAACAAAAAAAAGTATGATAAAAATACTGACGTCACATTTCACATAAAAAGTGACTCCTGAAGAAAAGCTGCCAAAGTTATCTTGTTAGGGTGAGTGGACAGAAGTGAGAACGCAGGACATGTCGTCACAGGACTGCTTTCATTTTCACATTTCACATGTCTGCTCGTATGGTTTGTCACAGCAGGTCGGCCCCGAGTGACGGCGCTCTGTAATTTCTCCCAGAACAACTGAGGATTTAAAGGTCGGAGCAAGAGGACGACGTGTTTCCTGTGTCTGTGTGTGGCTGCCCTCTGAGGCAGCAGAAGAAATTATTTTCTTCATTTAGCAGATCACTGGAACGCATCCAGGAAGACAAGTCGGAACAGCACAAAAAAAGAGGTTAAAGACGGGGAACCTGTGACTGGAAGGTTGCCAGTTCGAATCGAAGCACCCACACCTGTCTCCACCCTCATTTGCCGCGTAAACACTGAATGAAACAAACATGGCGGGTAATACGTTTTTCCATTTCCATCCTGTACCGATTATCCATTGCTGGGTCACAGAGTCAACAAGTCCAGAAGACAAACCCAGACATAACACTGTCCAGCTTCTCCAGGGGGACTCCAAAGAGCTCCCGGGCCAGATAAGATATACAATCCCTCCAGCAAGTTCTGGGTCTGCTCCAGGGACTCTTCACAGTAGGATGTGCCCAGAAATCCTCCAAAGGGAGGCATCCAGGAGGCATCACAACAAGATGCCCAAACCACCTCAACTGACACCTTTTGATGAGAAGGAGCAGTGACTCTACTTTGAGCTCCACCCAGAAGATCCAAGACACCGCAAAGCTCATTTTTTGCCACTTGTATCTGGGATCTCGTTATTTTGGTCATGATCCAAACCTCATTAGGAGATGATTAGAAGGAAGATGAACCAAGACAATGAAGAGCTTGGCTTTTTGACTCGACCCTTTCTTCACCATGACCAACTGAAGCAACGCCCTCATTCATTCAACCTTTATTTGTACAGGTTAGTCTCTTTGAGTCACAAGGACTCATTTTCAAGAGGACCGATCCGTCAGTCACTCTCCAGCTCCATCCTATACCATCACTGGTGAACAAGACACCCAACTCTTCCACCTGAGGTAAAGACTCCCCTCCAACCAGGAAGGGGCATTCCACCCATTTCCAGTCAAGAACCATGGCCTCAGACTTAGAGGAGCTGACTGTCATTCCAGCCGCTTCACACTCGGCTGCAAACTGCCCCAGTGCACGTTGATGGTCATGGCCTAAAGATGCCAACAAAACCACATCATCTGCATAAAGCAGAAATGAGACCCTGAGGTTCCCAAACCAGATCTCCTTTCCTCCATGACTGCATCTTGAGACATATGAACACCACAAATGGGATCAGAGATGATGGCAGCTCTGGCAGAGTCCAACTCGCACCAAAAGACAAGACGCCTGTGAGGAGGACCGTCAAGTTCAGGTGCGTCGCAAACCCAGCAGCAGGCGAAGAAAGACCACTGATTATGCATAAACTAGCTAACAATTTTGTTGTTTTCAATTGCACAACAATTTCAGCGCTGACGCAAACATGCTGACATGTTCTTGTTTACTTCTTTGAACGCAGCGTTCTGCATGCGATGTCACGTCTTCTTCAGCACACGCAGGTCGCTCAGGATCGTGTTTACATAGGGTCCAATAGTGGTCACATTGAAATTGCGATGCAAAAATAAATAAATCATATCTCGGCAAAACATTGAAATCAAGCATTGAGACCTGCAGTGTGAACGAAGCCTAGTTGTCATGGGTAACTGTTGTGAAAACCCCAAATGGCTCAGAAACCAACTAAAACTTTTATTGACTAAACCAAAGATCAGGGATTGCAGCAGCACAAAAAAAACTTAAGTGAACAAAGGCTCTCACACGAGACTGTATAAAACGTATTTATATTTAATCACTGGCGAATGACTAAAAATAATAAAGAGTCAGTTCAAATTATGAAGCTACAAACAAGCTTGTTATGCTTATAACGCCTCATGTCCTTATGAAAAACCCAAATGAAGGACCAGCACACAGGCGGGCAGCACAAACCAATAATCTTTTCTTACAAAAAAGGAAACTCGAGCACAGAGAAAACAGGAAAGCTGACAGATCTAAAACAGGACGTAACCAATAGAGAGCATGGTGGACCGAGACAATGACAAGAATCTGGCCAAGAACAAATTACTTTTAGTTGTATAAAACCACTGAGGGGTAATTACACTGAACTGAAGCAGGGCTGATTGGAAAGGAAAAACCTGTGCACCAAAAGACAAAAGGATATCCTTTATCCAAATAAATCAGGAAGCAAGGTAATACACAGAAAAACAAGAACCTAATTACAACTCACGAAAAGAATACAGCAAAAACCAATAAAAAGCTCTACAAAACAAGAAACCTAACCAAGGATCGTTTGAAACTGGAATCAGATAAACTGCAAAACTCCCTGAACTCATCAAGAAATAAGAACAATTAAGACAAATTCTAAATCATGACGCAATTTTTTTTTTTTTAAATGAATTATACTATAAACTTTCTTTTAAGCTAAAAGTTTGACAAAGTAAGAAGGTGAGTGTTCCTTTTCTGCAGGATTGTGTGTTACATTTGTAAGTTATTCCTGGAACTGGGGAGAACAAATATAAACTGATAATGGAATATTTTAGTTGAGCTGGAAAGCCTAAAACAGATTTCAGTTGAAGTGCACCATCTGTTTCATGCTGCAACCATCCTGCCTTTAGACTTGCAGATAAAAAAAGGACAAGAAAAAAAACAGATAAAAAAGGAATTTAATGAATGACTGGAAAATATTTCTAACTTGGAGCTTTAGATTATTTCATGGCAGTAAATGAAACCTCCTCATGTTTGAATCTGAGAGCGTCTTCAAACATGAACAAAAATCTGTCAATAAGAACATTTTTAGAACGTCACAAACAATACTACAGAAGAGGATTAGGGCCACGGTGCAATAAAAAAAAAATCCTTAATTCAATTTCAATTCAGTTTATTTATATAGCTCCAAGTCACAAGAGAAGTTGCCTCAGGGCACTAAACAGAAACATTCATATATAAAAATAATATGTTAACATTCATAATTTAGCACGATTTATCTGAGGAGCAAACTGCTTTGAGTTTAGCTCCATCACAGAACTCAATTCTGAGGAAAAAATACAGAATTCTGACATTAAATTTTGAATTCTGAGAAAAAGTCAGAATTATGAGGAAAAAATTTAATTCTGAGAAAAAAGTTTGAATTCTAAGAAAAAAAATCTGAATTCTGAAACTAAAGTCCGAATTTTCTCAGAATTCTGACTTTTAATATCAGAGACTGAGACTAACGTCAGAATTCTGAGGGGGAAAAAAAGAAGTCAGAATCCATTTATCTAACTCCAAATCAGAATTCTGACTTTTTTCTCAGAATTCTGATTTTAATCTCAGAATTCTGACCTTTTTTCTCAGAATTAAGAGGATTTTTTTTTTTTTTTTTTTGCACCATGGCCCTAATCCTCTTCCGTACTAATCCTCTTCCATACAATACTAATAAATAAAATGGAACTAAAAATTAATTAAACTTTATAGGAACTTAATTCAATAGTCTTTTAAAAAGTGTTAATACTGCACTTTAAATACTTTGTACATACCTCTGCCTGGGACAAAGCAGCATCCACAGTCACTGAGAACTTTTCTGAACAGGTGCTGACACCCACACCCTTGTTGGTGGTGACCCCCCCTCATGGTGATCCACTCCTGCTGGTCGGCTCTACAGCATCCGAAGCGTGCATAATGCTGCACGTACAGAAACTAGTCCTGTGATTATCCCCAGAAGAGGTGAGAGGGAAAGTGTGCAGAGAGCTCCACAGTCATATTCCAAATCTGAGCAGAAGCCACTGAGAGGACAATGGGGTTCTTATCCCATGACAGGAGGACAAACAACCGGATAAACCAGAGACAGCCCGGCCTTCGACTCACGAGCCTCCCTGTGTGGTCAGAGAGCTGGCAGAGATTTAAAGAGGGACCAGGAGTAAGTGAGGGAGCGACAGAGAGGCATGAAAGAGGTGGAGCTGTGATGAGAGAGGGATTTAACATGAAGTACAGCTGTGCCAGCATCTGTTTCCCAATCTCCCCTCAGCCCCCTCCCCTTCTGCTCATTCACCCCTCTCTCTTTAACCAAATCTGTTTTCAGCTTTACAGCCGGCTCGCTGTGCCTCAGTCTTCCAGGAACGACAAACACTTTCCTGGTAAATTAGCAGTTATTGATTTATCATTTCTACATCATGGGATGAGGGTTATTTTATTGGTAATGTCTAGGTCCAGACGTGAAAGATTTAAAGTGGGAATTACAGAACATATCCAATGGTTCTTTGATGGATGAGGAAACAGATTTGTCACAGAATCACCAACAGCGCAACATAAAACACAAGAACTGAACGTTAAAGTTTAAAACAAGAACGGTATTAGTAATACAGGTTGGATATGGGGTTCTTTGGAGTTGTATCAGTGGTAACAAACAAAACTCAAAGTCAAACAATATAAGTGCAAATTAACAAGAACCATTGAAGTAAAAGTGAAGAGGGTGATAATGAAACAGGTATGCTGTTTAGGTGATGAAGTACAGGTGAGTGTAAGGCACTGTCCACACTGCTTTGAATAAATAAAATATTTATACACTAAAAAAAATCTGCTGAAAATGCCCCTCTCATCCACACAAAAAATAAGTTCAGTAAAAAATAAATAAATACAATTTTATTTTAGTTTCTCCCTTCTTCAGGGTTCGCCGCAGCAAACTAACTCTTCTAACTCGAACAAATCTGGGAGTGATAATGGACCATTCCATGAAACTTAACAGTCATGTAAACATGATTGTTAGATCCTGTGTTTTTCAGCTGAGGGCACTGTCTAAACTGAAGTCCATACGTTCAAAAATAACCTTGAGACAGTAATACATGCGTCCATAACATCCAGGCTCGAATACTGCAATGCATTTCTTTTTGGAATCAGTCAGACCTCCATCACTCGATTAGAACTGGTCCAACATGCTGCTGCACGATTTCTAAACTGTACAGGCAAAAGAGAGTACATGCTAGTTTTGGCCACCCTGCACTGGCTCCCAGTTCACTTTTGAATTCAGTTCAGAATTATTTTGTATGTTTTTAAATCTCTGAACAGTTGTATTCTGAAAAGGATGAGAAAGTCGCGCTATATAGCAGCAGCTACGTGCACTCCGCCCATCTTTCGGACGACTGTAAGGACATATTCTCATTGTATCTTGGTGCAATGATAATAAAACTTATTCTGAGTTCTGGCCACTCTTATCTCGCTGATCTGCTGCAGCCATATGTCCCACTGAGGTCAGTGAATCAGATGCTTTTTCTGGTTCCAGGAACTCGTTTTAAGCTCAGAGGTGACCGGGCTTTCTCTGTTGCAGGTCCAAGACAGTGGAATGAGTTACCACTGCATGTCGGGCAGGCTCCTACTCTCACTGTTTTTAAGTCTCACTTAAAAACGTAGTGTGATTTGTTCTTAACCTGTCTGTACTCTACAATGTTAGCCATTTAGTTATTATCTTTTTCCATTCATATCCATAGTTTTATTTTACTTTATTTTATTTTACTGCTGTGTGCTTTGCATGTTTGTTCTGCTGTACAGCACTTTGGTCGGTCTTGTTTGTTTTAAGTGAGCTGTAAATAAAGTGCTATGGTATGGTATGGTATGGTATGGTATGGTATGGTATGGTATGGTA